CGGCCGCCGAAAACTGTGGAGGGGGCCGAGAATAAAAAAAAAAAGCCTACAGGCACTGCAGGGGGCAGCCCTGGGCCTCGGCCGTGAGGACCCAGCAGACAGCCTTCTGAGTACACGGGCACGCTGAGATGGACACATCACACACAGGGGGCCCGTCAGCCAATGTGATCACTCCCGGCGCAGAGATGGGGGGGCCCGCCGCATACCGATCCGATGGTAACCGGCGGCCGGACACCAACGGGCCCCCCCCCCATCTCTGCCCCAGGGCTGTGTTTGAATAGATACTGGGCCCAACGTAGGCTCAGGCCCCAGTGCGGCGGGACCGCCCGCACCGGCGATAGTTCCGCCACTGCTTAGCAATCTGAAAAGATTGCCCATGGAACACATTCATTTAGTTAAAAGATTTTAATGGAGTAGTATTTTAAAGTGACACTAAACTCGGGAGTTAAACTTTAAAATGCATTCAAGTACTCTATTAACAAAAATGTATCTTATTTGTGTATCACTCAGCTGCAGATCCTCAAATCATCTCTGAATTCATGCTGACACTGTCCTTCCTTCTGGAGGGTGGCTACTTGTTCCTCATGGTCCCTATGTGTGTTGTAAAGTAGTCACCGCCTCCAAGCTCACTACCGTGATGGACTATGATCTTAATACAAATTAGTAAACTAAACGTGAGATTGAAGTCATTCATGGGAGCGAGCTTGGAGCGGTGGCAACTTTAATACTTTTTGTTTTTGTAAACTAGGTTATTTATTTTTTTTTTTTACAGGGGCTTTGATACTTAGCATCTCTGACGAGAATACAGTACAGTAGTGTGTGTCAGTTTGTAACAGACTGAGCCAGCTTGCAGCTCCACAACACAGCAAGTGGCTATGAAGGCTCCGTTATCACAGCAATCAGCTATCGCTGTGATCATAGTGCTGTGACTATGACGAGGGACCCAGCAACAGCAGTAGCTCAATGAGCGATGGTCCCTTCATGGACCAGCGTTCATAGTACCGCACAAAGGGATTTTTTCATCACCGGTCGTTAATAAACTGAAAGACCATGACGGAATAATCCCATCATCGGTTGGTAACTGGTTAAAAGACACTGAAAGCAAAATTTCATTCTAATACATTCATATACATACATTCAGTCATTTATTTATTTTTTACTGAATACAAGTTTTTTTTTTTTGTATCTGATGTAGTGTTTTTGGGTCAGATGTAAAAGATTTATGGTTATGTTAACTCACATAACAACAAATGTACTATAAACACATAACTCTTACCTTTATAAGGAGATCTAAAGCAGCTACTTTACATTTTGCATATTTTTCTTTAGTGTAAACAACAACACACACATTCTAGAAAAGAAGATCAAACAGTGACAGATTAATACGTGAAATGCAAGCTAATTGTTGCCTATGTGCATGTCTGAGAGCTCTCAGATAGATGTCAAGGTTCCAAAAAAAAAGCAACATAAGAATATATAGTACAATAAATTAGGGATGCACCTATATATCGGCCGCCGAAACATATCGGCCGAAAATGGCACTTTTGGCATAACTCCAAAAGTGCCATTTTTGTGCCGATACATCGGCGCATCCGTTCTTTCTTTCCTCCCCGCTGGGCTCTGCTCTGTGTCCCAGCGGGGAGGAGAGAAACTGTGATAGCCGGCCGAGCGCTGCGGGAGGAGAGCGCTGTGAGCGGCCGGCGTCTCCTCCCACACCGCTCAGCCTATCACAGTCCGGCAGAGCGGTGTGAGGGCGGAGACAGGCCGCGCTGTCACAGGAGGCTGAGCTCTCCTCCCACACCGCTCGATCAGCCTCCTGTGACAGCGTGCCAGAGAGGAGAGCAAGGTACAAACACTCAGTGATCGCTGAGTGTTTGTACATAATTGAGGACATGGTATGTGTACTATATCCTCAATTAAGAATGGATGGGAAGTGATCTGCATCACCTCATGTTGATTCATAGTTGTAGTTATAGTAAATATACTATGTCCTCAAGTTATCAATGAACAGGAACACTCAGTATAGAGGATTCCTGTTCATTGATAACAGGGGATACAGAAAAAGAGATTGAGGACTCTCAATCTCAATAAATAAAAAAAATATATTAAAAAAAATAAAAATAAAATATTTGAAAAAATGTGAAAACATTTTTCGGTATCGGTTTCGGCCTGACAATTTTTTTTATTTCGGTTTTAAAATTTCCATTTCGGGGCACCTCTACAATAAATACAAAGGAGAATAACATTAAAAACAGTATAGTCTTACATATATTGGATTCTGCCCACTGGCAAAGAGGGGGAGAGGAAGTATCTGGATGTACAGCTATCTCTACATCAGTGACCTTCCTAAGGGCTAAGTTATCCTTGGCTCTCATCTTCAGTCAGAGGTGGAAGCACAGTAAACAGATGATAGAAGTGGAGCAAGCACCTCATCCACCTACTAGACAAGAAGATTAAAGCCTAACTCCAGTCAGAATTTTTTTTTTTTTTAGGTTTGAAAAGTGTGAAAAGCTTAGAAAATCTGTCTAGTTTTAAATACTGGCGTGTCCCACAGAGGAGATTTCCCCAATAGCACAAACAGCATAAAAGCTGACAGAAGTACCACACCACAGGGATGCACTAGTCATGAAGCAGCTGGTGGATGGAAGCACAGATCACAGTGGGGTACGCAGGCATCCGACAAACCTGGAAGTGTGGATGCTGAAGGTCTGAGCATCAGGTGTAGCTCTGTAAGAAAGTGTAGACTGGAGTCACGTGCAGAGTGACTGATAATTATTATAAACTGTTTTTACAGGTGGGGTGGCACATGAGATATGATATTCTGGATTATGAATCCCACACTAGTTTAGAAAGACTGGCGTCAACCCAGAGCCATCTAGACTGCATAGAAAACCTCAGTCTGAAGAGCTTATATACAGTATACTTATAAAACTCTTCAATGGCTTCTAGTATTATTATACTGGTGGTACATTACCCTCCACATAACACACCCCATCTAAGATTGCCTATGGAACTTTCAGCAAGTTTTATCGGTAGGAACAACATCTTTTAATTTCAAAATGTATTATTTATATCTAAAGCTGCATCCAAGGTTACAATATGCTCAGACCATCCTGATTAAAATTCTACAATCATTTATCTAAAACACTATAATAAGCCTGCTAATACCAGGCTTACTATAACAAGAATCACAGTTGGTGTTCCTCCTTACCTTGACGTCTACGGCATAATGCTGGACATTCTGACCTATTTTCTCCAGGAATGTACACAAGAACTTTAGTACTTCTTCCCGGCAATCTCGAAACTGAAAATAAAATACATAAAACAGATTAAGAAACTTACACAAGCAAACTATGTATTTTGGACGTAATCAACAGTAGATTGTGGAACTAACTTACCTCTTCGGAGGTGAGGGATTTGCGGACAAACAAAAGCAAGCCAAACTCTTTAGAGAAGACCAGTGAAGTATTAAGATCTAGAAAACAGGATACATGCCAAGATTATATTCATTGTAACAATGTCTGAAGAGTAATCAGCTCCTCACATAAACAGGCCCTACAGACACCACATGGTGAACAAACATGCAGTCATGTGAAAAAACCCAAAATGTTTTTTTTTTAATGAAAGATTTTTTATAAACACGCATGATCACTAGACATTAGGGGGGGATTTATCAAAAGAGGAGCAGACAGAAACCTGGAGCAGCTGTGCATGGCAACCAATCAGCTTCTCTCTTCAATTTGTTCAGTTAAAGATTTGAAAAATGAAAGAGAGAAGCTGATTGGTTGCCATGCACAGCTGCTCCAGTTTTGATAAATTCCCCTCTCCATGTTTCTGGGTATGGAGAAGGATGGTAACCCCAATGCTGGTGTATCTCACAGATAACAATTGCAAAAAAAAAATCATGTTCATCTGCTATAAAATCAGTCAGACAAGAATGCTTATGGAAGTTTGCTGCTGCCAACAGATGTGTGGATGGTCGCCTGATCCAACAGATTTTGCCCAGATTGGACAATGATCACTACCACGTCTATGGGTACCTCAAGGATCCACAAACCCACTTGAACTTGTTGCGTGAAATGGCAGAAGAAAAGAAAAAGTCGGCTCCCCAAATTGTCCATAGTTGACTCTTCAAAAGCCATTACAGGTCATCAGTTCAGAGATGACAGTCAGTGACAGAATTTTTGCCCTCACTCATGCGCAGCAATACTCGACATTTGTAGCACAATCATTGTTTTCATATGTAAGTGCACCCAACACACGTTTACATTCATACGTGCGTTCATGGGGAGATGTAAAAACATTTTAAAACTTTTTTTTCCACTTTATAGCAATCACATAGGAGGCTAACGAGGGTGGAAAGCCATGTTGTGTGACTGGCAGAAAGGAACAGGCAGCTGTACTCGGGCATCTTCCAGTAGTAAGCTGGGAGTCTGACAAAAAAACGTAAACTGACTCCTGCTTTCCAAATGTGTGTTCTGCAAAGACTTCTGGGGACAAGTTCTCTCCAGAGTCTTCTGAGGTATGGACAGCAGAACGTATTTGTTTTTTTCTTCATAGGTAAACATTCTATTGCAGCATTTATGTCTGTGATACGAGTCATTTAGGGCAGGGGTGCACAAATATGGAATTCAGGAGGCAGCTCCATGGCAATAAAAGTTAGGTACCAGCTGTCATTTTTACTGAGCATTGGCTACCTGGCTCGGGTTCATGTAACTCTGTGAAAGCCAGCTTACAGAGTCCCTTAAATCAAACACTTTTGCATCCCCGTACAAGTCTATGGGAATGTAAAAGTCACTGGATCCAAGTCTAATACAGGTCAGCTATCAAATGGGCCTGTCAATGAATTCCTCATGATCTCATAAGCATTCAAACTGATGTCTCTGATACAAGTTCATTGACACAGGTTCTAAATATGCTGCATGACTGCACAACGCAGGGGTTACATCTACATTAACCCTTTCCCTGCCATACACCAGCAGGGCTCAGCAAGCAGACTATAACAGCCGGGTGTTTGTTACATGTATAAAGCCGAGTGTTAACAGTGCAAGTGATCTAGCAGTCACCTGATCACTTCCACGGCCATCCCATCCTGCCAGACAACCCCCAGGACCCATCCTGAGGGCCCAGGACTGGCAAAGCAGGTGTAGGCGGGAAGGGGCATTCATTGATCAGCCCTGTGGTGAATGAAGCCAAAAGAACAAGCTTTTTGTCACTTCTGGTGAGCACTCTATGTGATAGCAATAAAGTGTACAAAATAAATAAAGTTGGTAAAATAAAAATAAAAAACCCCCCCAAGGTTTTTTTTTTTTTTTTAAAGTCCCCTGGCCCAGCGTGCGTATGTGAACGAAAACACACGTCAAGTGCGCCAATATTCGAACACGACCTTCACACCACCAATGTTGTGTATAACCGCACACCCCAGAGAGAAAACAATTCTTCATGGTCTAAACAGGGGAGAGAGCGAGGAGAGACAGCCAGGGAGAAAGCAAGGAGAGACAGCCAGGGGAGAAAGCAAGGAGACAGCCAGGGGAGAGAGCGAGGAGAGACAGCCAGGGGAGAGAGCTAGGAGAGACAGCCAGGAGGCAGAGCAAGGAAAGACAGCCAGGAGGCTGAGCAAGGAAAGACAGCCAGAAGGCTGAGCAAGGAAAGACAGCCAGGAGGCAGAGCAAGGAAAGACAGCCAGGAGGCTGAGCAAGGAAAGACAGCGAGGAGGCTGAGCAAGGAAAGACAGCCAGGAGAGCGAAGAGAGACAGTTAGGAGAGCGAGAGAGGAGAGCTGGGGAGGTTTTGTTTCGTTGGTAGATCTCATGTAGCTCGTCATTTGAAAAGTAGATCTTAACTCAACAATTGTGGGCACCCCTGGTCTAAACCAATGAACTGTAAAAAAGGCTTTTAGAGCGTCGCCTATAGACAATTTGGGGACCGTAATTTTTCGTCATTTTACAGGAGCACGCAATTCTGAAGCTTAATGGATTCGGTATTTTTCCTCAACACAACCTCATCTTTTATAGTCTACCAAAACAATGTGGCCATTTTGTAGAATTCATCCTAATGCATTTTTTTTAGGGATGTCCCGATGCCACTTTTTTAAGACCAAGTACAAGTACTGGCCCTCATGTACTTGCCGATACCAATTACCGATACTTTTTCTTAAAGGGAAAGGTGACATTTTTTAAAAAACCATCTGACTCACCTCTGAACTCCATGTCCACAGCTAAACTCTGTAACCCTCATTCAGAGCTCACCTTTGCCCCCTCATTCACAGCTTACCACTATACCCCCTGTCCACAGCTAAACTCTGCTCTCCCTCGCCACAGCTTACCTTTCACACCTCACCTCTTCACCACCCAGCCACAGCTCATCTCTAAATCCCCGTCCACATCTCAGCACTTCTGCCCCCCCGCCCTCACTCCAGCTCTCCTCTGTACCCACTTCTACAGATCAACAGTGGGTGGAAGCAGCCTGAGCACCCAGGGATGTGGGCATGTGCCCTGGGTGCTTGACGGTACTGATACCCATGGTGCATATACATAGGGACAGTGAGGACCCCTTATCGTGAGCAACTACTGACTGTCTTCTTTGCCATCCCAGCACAGGCCCTTACTCACTCTTGCCTGTTCAATGGAGGTGCCGAATGCTTTCTTTTTCCTTTTCGAGGACGTCGGCGGCGCTGAGCGTCGCGTCACTGTTGTGGGCGGAGCTACAGGCGGAGTCATCTGGGCAGTCGCTGGCCAACCACATTAGGACCCCACCTGGAGCGCCGCCCACAGCGCAAGCTTCGGCGCATTTTGACAAGTACTTGTCAAAATGCCCTGTATCGGGCCCGATTCCGATGCTAGCATCGGTATCGGGACATCCCTAATTTTTTTTATGAACAATTCTGGTTTGACCCTTAGGCCCCAGTCACACTGAGTGGATTGCCGCACGATTTCCGCCGTGATATTGCGCATTTTTGCCGCACGATATCGCGTGAAGTCGCCGGCCAATGATTTTCAATGGAGCGGTCTTAATGTACAGCTCCATGTAGCCCATCGCGCCTGCAGGACCTTTTTTCGGCGGATGTCGCTATTTTTTAATGCAGCCCAACGGTGAAGGCCCCCCTGAAAGTCGCGCTATCCCGGCCGCGCGGATCTGCTCCAAAAGGTCTGTCGCTCGGTGTGAATGGGGCCTAAGAGTTGTGGTAATATCACGTCACATGAAAATTGCAACTGCCACCTTTCTTGGGGATCTGCTTCCAGGAAATGTATCATTCTGGGGGGGGTTTGAAGAACTCCAGGTAAAGGTGGGGGATCTAGCTACAGTGAGTGAGAACATGAAGCCTACATACTGGAGGACCTCAGAACTTTAATTAACTCTTGGAAGAAATATTCTTAACTCTTGGCGTAGAGCTGCCCCCGCACTGCACGGTTTAAGTGCTAGTTTTGGTCTAGGGATGAAAACAGTAAAGTTATAGTCACCCGATCCTCTGAGACAGCCAACTGCTAGACAGTCTCTGCAGCCTCTCTACCCTCCACTTTAGCGGTAAATCATCACATCCTACACAATGTGTATTGGACGGGAGGGTGCCGAGGGTCATCCTAACGTGGCAGGAGGGGGCACTTTCACAGCCAGCCGGCTCAGAGGATCGGGTGAGTGGAAATTTCTTTCTCAATTTCTCAGACCTAAAATGTTTAACATGTGTGTAAAACAACACTGACAGCACATGTTAAAATGCACTTCTCCATACATGAGAAAAGTTTCAGGAGGTTTTATAAGAGCCGGAAGTACATTTAGCTTACACTTGGCTGGGGACATTGCTGTGCAACCCTATCAGGAAACAAAGGAAGAGCGCTCTTAGTAAAATATCAAAGTGTAGACACTTGTGTGTTATTATCTATATGTCTGACAACAAATATCACAGTCCGCCCTCTCCATGTGTACGGAAACACAAGTAATCCTGACACAACCCCACACATGAACAAGCCGGACTCCAGGGAGACTTGTATACAACTCCAGCAATGTTCCCCGCCCCCGCCCGCCGCTCTATATGAAGCCAGGGCACGCACCCAGCACACTGCTCCCCTGCGCGGTCACCACACACTCCTCTCCCAGGCTGCGCAGGAGGCCCAGAGCCGCATCACACTGCAGCCCGGGCTCCCCGGAGCCCACCAGGCGGTGCAGCTGGTGAAGACTGCCCAGAATACCGCCAGCCGATTCCGGCCGGAGCGCATCGCTTCCTCCTCCTCCATCAGAGCCGGTACCGCTGGAGCTGCTCTGCAACATGTTACCAGCGGTCGGAGCAGTGACAGCAGAAGCGGGAGAACGCGCTATACTGACTCCCAGGGGCGGCCTTAACTCTCAGTCACATGACCGGGCCTGTCAAAAGGGGGCTGGGCTGAAACTATCACATGACTTGGCATGTCAGAAAGGGGTGTTCTATCGAAAGTTCCAACTCCTCGAGTTCTCCAACCGAAACTTTCGATAGAACACGGGGCCGACCTCCGTCACATGACTGGGAAGGAGTGTCTGAAGGGGCGGACCTCCTACTGTAGGAGGGGCGAACTAATTTAAAGGGCCACTATTGTCGTCTAAGTGTGCTGGGAGTAAATCTGTCAGCTGCTGCGTGGCGTGGCGTATTCACATGTGTTGGTCAAAAAGGTTCATGCCCATTTTCTGATCCATCTATGTGGGTTATGGAGGTTCATGATGGGAATGGCACACGTTTGCACCCAAGGCAAACATTTTGTATCAAATTATTGTTACAATGTATGAATGGAAGTATTTTTTCAATAATAAATCCAGATCAAACAAATATTGTCCAGCTAAGCATTTCTTTAGTTTTACCCAAAATCTGACAATGAGGGGAATTTATCAAAGCTGGAGCAGACAAAATCTGAAGCAGCTGTCCATGGTAACCAATCAGCTTCTATCTTTCATTTTCAATCCTTGACTTAACAAACTGAAGGTAGAAGCTTATTGGTTGCCATGGGCAACTGCTCCAGATTTTGTCTGTTCCAGTTTTGATCCCCCCCTATTGTATTTCAGCTTCCCCGAACTTCCTGTCCAGTACAAGATGGCAAGGGACAGATCAGTATCCAGCAGCTGTACATCTACTAGCTTGGAGGAGGAGAGTGACTTATCATGCTGTGACTGTGTGTTTGTGGAGACACAGCTTACTAGCACACACAAGGGTGTCTCATGGGACCCTGGAAGGTAAAGGAGCCACCCTTAGGGCTGGTTCACAACAGCTCTGGTGCGTTTCAGCACCATTCTCTGCTGAAACGCACTGGAGAGCATCACGGCCTGCTTCCTGCATTCAGGGGCGGGAAAGGCGTGGCAGCGCATTGAACTCAATCGCCCCGCAGCCCCGACCCACCCACAGTGCAATGGCCCGCACCTGGCCTGCATTCTGGTCCAGTGCGATCTGAAAAAATAGTTCATGCAGCATTTTTGCAGATTGCACTGTACCGGAAAGCAGGCACTGAGGTGCCACACGTTCTGGTGTGGGAGATTGCACTGCGGGGGGAACGCAGGGAGACGGCCAGGATGTGCTACAGTGCGTTCCAGCAGCGAATCGTTCAGGAACGCACTGGAGCTGGTGTGAACCGGCTCTAAAAACAGGAAGTCAGGACCAGCGCTCAGGGGACCAGCTGATTCTGATTCTATTTTTAAACATCAAAGAGCAGCATCCATTGTAAAAGAGATTTCAGCAGCATTTGAAATGGCTTCAAACCTAATTGTCTTGAATATCACTTGAAGCCTGCAAGCAGTCATTTACTGCCATTCCGGCCATTTCATTGTGTACACCAGTATGATGTTCGGCTGGTTTGTGGCATGTTCGCAAGATAAAAGCCGCAAGCGCACACTGCCCGATCAGCATTGCGGTCATCGGAAACCCGCCCCTTAGCAGGGCGGGCTTACGATCATCGCAAGTACGATCTGCCTGGCCAAGATAGGCAGATCATACGTTTTTGTAATTACCTTACAACCATCGCAAGACAAAAGTCTTGCAATGGTTGTAAGGTATGTGCCCAGACTTAGTATCTTGCTAGTCGGCCCCGCTGGCTGCCAAAATACCTGAACAATCTGATTGGATGCAGACATTGTTCAGGTGTTTTGAGAGCCAGCGGGCCTGACTAGCAAGATACTAAACCTTGGACCAGCGGGAGATTCCTCCATCCACACAGTTTAGCATAGATGGAGGAATCTGTTGCACTTTTTTCCAGCTGACCATAGAAAATCTGCAGATAATCTATAGGTGTATGGTCAGCTTTCGTATCAAAGCCCATGTAAATAATTAAAAATAAATAACCCCTTAGTGCCCCCTAGTTTAAAAAAAAAAAATATAAAGTTGTAAAGTGTGTAAAAATAAAAAGTCAAGTTTTAAAAAAAGTTAAGAAAAAATGTTTAATAAAAAAATAAGAAAATCTAGTGCCAAGGAGGCTATTAAAGATAGAAAACAAACATACCACATTCTAAATTTGTTCCACACTAAAATTGTATTTCACTCCTTGTATTTTGTGACCTAGAACTCCCAAAATTAACTGAAATCCCAGACATATGATATACCCGATACATCAGGACAAAATCAAAAAATTTATTATGAATTACTTTGTTAGCTACACTTATTATTGCCAAAAGGGTGATTTTTTTTCTTTAAATTGTTTTGAAAAAACAATAAGAATTTATATATTGGCAGGTGTCACATTAAAGCCCATTTTGTCCTTTAAAGAAAACTGTATATAATATGTGTAGGTGCAATAAATGAGGAAGATGGAAATTATGGTTAAACAAACACAGCAAAAATGGCAAAATTGCTCCGGTCCCCAGGAACACAAACATTTTCTGAAGCTGTCTCAGTAAGGGGTTAACTTTCCTGAGTTGTCACACGTCATTATGTAGGGCCTAAAGAAAACACCAGCGCAGCACTTTGGCGTGAACTGATACAACAGGAAGTAAGGTAAGTTGTCTTGTCTATGTGTTGGGCATGTGCTGAGAAACTCTGCTCAGTGGGGGCTGGAGTAGCTGAGCCATTCTAAAGCTGGGTACATGTGGAAATTTCAGCCGATTCAGCAGGAATCAACCAAAATGTGATCCGATCCCCTCAACAGAAGTCAATCATTAGATTGATTTTTGCTGAAGGAACTCATTGGCTGAATGGAGGTCGCAGCCAATCTGCTGCGAGCACTGTTCGGGTATTCGGATAGCAAAACTCAGAAAAGGGATTTAACAAAACGAGAGAAGACAATCTGGCACTGTTGCCCATAGTGACCAATCAGTAACTGAAGGCAGAAGCTGACTGGTTGCCATGGGCGTATTTCGGAACATTTGCTCATCTATGCTGTTTAACGTGGATGGAGCAATCTGTCATATTTACACTGAATACAAATAAATGGAAAACCGTGTGCACCCAGCTTAAAGTAACCTATTTCCCGCTATCACTAAGATTGCTTAGTGCTTCTTGCCCTGTACAAGGATGGAGATCTCATCGCAGATCTGCTGCTACAACACTTCAACGGCAGCAGACTACATCATTCCGAACAGCCGCCAGATATACATACACTAGCACGCACGCCTACATTTCACTTCCTCCGATTAGTTTCCGGAAAGGGTGAGGACTATACCTCACGCAAGAAAGAGAGGGGTGTATCAGACGTCCGGGAAATGCCATATTTAAGAGGCAACATCACCTACGAAACAAAAAGCAGCAACCGTTTTACATTCGTTATTAATAAAGCTCACATGCATCACTGATTTCCAATGAGCAACGTTATTGCAGTTAGATTATTTTGACAACCTCATCTTCCCCTCAGCAAGGTTGGACTATCCCTGACTGTGTCTGTGTACCAAAAAAAACCCCGCGAAACTGGCCACGTGACGTGCTGATTGGCGCGAATTGTCTTGGCGGGAGAAGAGGCAGGAGCTGGGTGATCGGGCATTGTGTCTGCTTCTGCTGCTAAAACGATAACATCCGTATAACAGGTCAGTATCCTTCATCACGGCACAGCGACCAACGTCTGCGATACCGGTATCATTGTGCATGATCATAAGTGTGTGTGTGTGTGTGTGTGTAGTCGCTTGTCTGGTAGCGTTGTATGGCAGCTTGTGACTCTCCAGATGTGACGCAGGATGCACCGGCAGAGCCTTTTGTGACATTCTGGGTCACTTTGTTCTGTGTGATCTTGAGACATGTACATACACTGCACTTACACTAAATGTGGGCTCCTGCGGGTTTTACATGTGTGCACTAGTTGAATGTGCGTGCATTTATAATTCTGCAATCCCATTGCAGGTCAGGGTTCATTCACACCTAGGCCACAGCGTTTCTGTGTAGATTATGTGCGTTTTTCGTGTGTGTGTGTGTGTTTTTGTGAGCAGATTGTGGTATGTTGATGTAAATAAGAAATGTGTAAAATAATTGTAGTGCGTTTTCTATTGAGTCTATGGGAACAAACTGCGCTGATCTGCCAAAAACAAAAAGCTCATGTCCTTTTTCCAGTGACAGGCATATTTTTATGTACGAATTGGCGTGATTGCGGGAGCAGACGTCATAGGAAGATAGGGTATTTCTTGTGCTGTGCGTTTAAGCACGCTAAAAATATGCATGCCAAGATGCCAAGGTATGAACTAGAACTGTCAGGCTCATATGATAGGCCCCTGATTGTTTTAGGTGTATTGTCTTGCTTTATTTACAATGTTCATGCATAATTACATTGCCATGTCCGTATGGAGTAGGGAATACTGTGGCTTGGTAAACAATGGACAGTCTGGATGGAAGCATGGTATGATCCTAGTGGGAACTGCGCTCTGCGGAGCATTGTGCACAATGATTACGTAAGAGAATTGGTGAATAAAAGTTCAATTTCATGGCTTGTTCATACTCTCTAGACCGGGGGTTTTTTTTTTTTTTTT